GTTCTCTGAATAAAGAACAGGTATGTTATTGTCGTGTATATACCGGTGCTCTATATTAGACGCTAATGAGTGTCAATAATGGTATTGAAAATTATGTCAAAAAGTTATATAACTTTGCGCTAAAAATGTGTTGTTTTAATGTAAGCATTGCTTATAACCATAGATACGGATCGACAGTTTAAAGTTAATTATTGGCTATATTTTTGAGAATATATTATACTCTCATAAGTATTTTTATCGAGTTTTTTTATTTTTAGTTTTGTGTCTATTTAATGAATGCTTTCATGTGTTGAATAACGTGTGCTTTGAGTATATTTTGAGCCTTAATAACAAATATAGTTTTAATGAAATGTTTTTATAATTATTTGGGTTTTGATTGTTAGGAAGAGTCGCACGAATTCGCGGTCAAAGAATTGGAGACTGAATTGGAGGATAAGATTAGATCATTGGATGAATTGCAGAGAATTTTGAACGAAAATCAAGTTTTGCTGAAAACAAAGTCCGAAACAATCGATGAGATGTCGGAACAGAAGCAGGAATTAGAGAATCGTTTCGAAGAGGCAAAGCTTAAGAACCAAACGCTCGCCAATCAAATGGAGGGTTTGATTAAAATGGTTGAGATTGAGAGCCAGGAGAAGGAGAGACTCAAAGAGACTGTCGATAGGTAGGTGTCAGCCATGAGTGAGTGAGAGAGAGATAGAGATTTGATTTTTTTGAATATTAATCGTCTTTTTGACACAAATCTATGAAATAGTATCCAAAGGGAGAACTTCGAAGAAAGCGATTTAATGCGAGAGAAAGACGAGAGAATCGATAGTTTGCAGAAAGAGATCCGCAAACAAGTGGAGGACCAGCAGGAGATCGAAGAGCTGTTGAATGAAAAGCAATCGGAAATCGATTCACTCAATAAAGACCTCGTTTTGGCCCAAAAAGAAAAGATTGAGTTCGAGAACCGCTCCGAAGAGCTCCGCAAGAAGTTGCAGACCATTAGCGCCAATTCTGGTGATGAGATAATAACACTTCAGCAACAGAT